CAAAAGGACAGCAACTTGTCTGTTCCCCTTCCCCCAATTCCCCAGTGCTGTTCCCATCCCCCAATTCCCCAATAAAAATCTTTAAAAAATAATAATAAAAAAATAAAATACAACCTGGTTACTGATTTACAATGATTGGTTTTAAGTATGTATTTTATTCACCAATTGTTTGTAAGCAATTGCTCAGCACGTCTCTTAGGTATTTAATATTCATGCGATACTATGTGTGTGACGCTAGTTATAAAAATGAAAACAATGGTTAGAACTACAGGGAAAAGACTGAATTCAATGGAACTGAGTCTTCATGTTTAGAGAATCATTGTAATGGAATCTGAGTAGCAGGACTACTATTTTTGTGTGACTACGAAATGATACAGAAATGTCAATATGCTGCAGCCACTTATAAAACCAACATTTTCATGTTTCTGACTTTATTATGTTCACATTTCAAAACTAGATATTCTCTTTTCTTTCTTTCGTCAGTTTTTAACTCTGATAGTTGTACAGTGATGCTGGCTTCCCTTCCGCCTCTCCACACTAGCTCCCCTGGGGTTGGTTGGCCCAACAGGCTCCCCAGATCAGCTCCCAGGGGACTCCAGGAAAGCCATTGTCAGCAAAATCAGAAAATGCACAGATCTTCTAATGGCTCAGAGTTCCTTTTCTACAGTACTATTGGTTTTATTTTTCTTTTCTCATTATTTTTCCTTAATAGTTAAGTATGTTTATTTCTAAAATACTCATATATTTTACTGTCAGTTTCACCCCACAATTTAACTCCTTGCTCTGTCACCAATTCACAAATTTACTTATTTCGTATAATTGTTAAATTTTATCTCCTTGTAAAAAAAGAGATCTATTTTGGGTTTACCTTATATTTAACTTTTTCTTCCTCCGTATCTTTTGTTTAGATTTATCTTCCTGTCCTTTTGTCAACTTGACTGGGCTACAGGATGCCCAGATAGGTAATAAGACATTATTTCTGGGTGCATCTGTCAGTGTGTCTCTGGAAGAGATTAGCATTTGAATCACTAGACTAAGTAAAGCACCCTCACCAGTGGCGTCATCCAATCCCTTGAGGGTCTGAATAGGACAAAAAGGTGGAGAAAGGGTGAATTCGGCCTCTCTGCTTGAGCTAAGAGGTCCATTTTCTCCTGTCATAGGACATCAGTGCTCCTGGTTCTTGGGCTTTGGGACTCAGGTGAGGACTTACACTATCACTTTCACATTCTCAGGCCTTCAGAGTTAGACTGAATTACACCACCGGCTCCCCTGGTTCTCTAGTTTGCAGATGGTAGATTGTGGGACTTCTTGGCCTCTATAACCATGTGAGCCAATTTTTATTATAGATAGATAGATAGATAGATAGATAGATAGATAGATAGATAGATAGATAAATAGATAGATAGATCCTATTGGTTCTGTTTCTCTGGAGAATCCTGACTAATACAGATACCCATCAAACTGTAATAGTGGTGGGTACCTCTGGAGAGAGAAGAAAGGGAGTGGGGTGATTAAGAACCTCAATATGTTACTCTGTAAACTTTTCTATTGTTTAAACCATTTGCAATTAGAATGTATTTGTGTATTTGTACAATTTTAAAAGGAGAGAGAGGGGATAAAAACAGCATGGAACTGCTGTGAAACCAGCGAAGTTTTGACAGATGGTCTGTCAGAACTACCAGGAAAAAAAAATGCAAACATTGGGAAAATAACAGAGAAAAAAATGTCAGGGAAATATCCTTAGTTAATTAACACTAAGAAAGAAAAGGAAGAGAGAGTTAGAAAAATAACCTAAATAATTAGAATCTAAAACTAAAGTGGAAAATCTGAGAGATCTTAAAAACTGTTAACCTTGACCACAGCCCATTATATCTGTGATTTACGAAGATCATTTTGTCAAAATGAGAGTATCACAAGTCTTCCTTACAGCTCTATTTCAGAAAGGCTGGAAGGCATCTTTTCATTTCAACACCCAAGAGGAAACGACCATGAGCCAAGAAAGATTTAAATATCCTCAGAGGCAAGAGTTTGGCTTGCCAGCTTTTAAGGAGCCAAGATTGTCATGATGAACAAAGATGCTGAGCAGAGAACAGATTCTCAAGTAAAAGGCAAGAACCAAACAGAGTGACATCTGCACGTCAGATGTTTGGGTTTAGGGTTTTGTTTTGTTTTGTTTTGTTTTTAATTTTTAAAATGTTTAAATTAGAAAATTATTTGATACGTGCCTCATCAGTCAAAATCAGATCACATCAAAGGGGAGACCGCAGCAGCTTTCTGGATATTGAGCTGTCCATATTACATAGCTCCCTTTTTCTTGCACATTGCCTAGCGGTTTCAAAAGCACTGTATCATCATGCGTTATCTCATGGGGTTTTCACAAGTCTAGGGCTGGTACTTTTGACCTTTATAAGTTGGGAAACAGTTGAAAGGAGTAGCTTCAACAGGGCCACCTCAGTGAATGGCATACCTGGGATGCAAATCTATGACTGCCAACTCCAATGTTCCCCACAGTCATTGCTCAGACAATCATTAATGTATTTGATCTTTCCTTGAACCATACTTGTGTATTACTACAAAAGAAGGAAAGTAGGTCGTTTTGGATGGAGGAGAGGAACTTGGGTAGAACATAATATGAAATAAGCTCAGGGAAGCAGGTAAAGGAAGTGAATGAGCAGTGTTGATTTAGCTGGAGGGTTTTCCATCTGTTCCGATTAGGCATATCAAATGCCACTGCAGAACTTTGAAAGAGGAAATGCCATGATCAAAACAGTGTTTGAGGGGCCGGCCGAGTGGCTCAGTTGGTTAAGAGCTCACTCAAGAGTTTGAGCTCTGAGCAACAGCGGTTCGAGTCCAGCCCGAGCTGAGCAGCCGNAGGGCAGTGTCACTGGCCCTCATATGTGGGATCCGAACCAGGGCCCTCTGGCGTCCCAAGCCAGCTCTTAACCAACGTGCCACTCGGCCGGCCCATAAAACTTGAATTATTTCTATAAACCAAGTCTCTGATAGTTCAAAATAACAAACTGCGTATTTTAGTGCCTGAAGAAGAAAACCTACTTCTACCGAAAAGAAAAAGTAAGGAATTGGGATGAAATTAGCCGAGGGGGAAAAGAGAAATCACACCAACTTGTCAAAAGAAGTAGCTCTAGTCTAGATAGTCTATTTATAGCAGCTCTTCAAATTCCAGGTGATCTTAGTTCCTCTCTGAAACAATGCACACTTTCAAAAGGAAAAAAAACTCATATTTCCAAATGTAGAATACCTCATTACTTCCTTACTATCCTTACCTCTTAATTTATCTATATGTTGTCTAGAAATAGAAAATATCTGGAAAGAGAAATATAAACATGCAAAGAATACTCTGAGGCTAGATTTAGTTCAATCTGGATAGTCACATTGAAGCAACACTTACTCTACAAATGATCCACTTAAAATATGTGTTTTAACCTCTTTACTAATGTGTTGACAATATATACCAGTTCAATAAAACAGTTGTATTAAAGGAAACCCACATGAAGTAGACGAGTAGTGAGGAAATGTGAGTGTATTTTAGTTTTGTGTCTAAAGCTAAAATGATAGACTTGACTCTTTACAACATTTAAAAATGAAGTGTGTAGCACATAATTTTTTTACATTCTTCTCCATAGTGTTAGAAAATTGGAAATATACTCCTTTCATTCTATACGCCTTTAGTCACATTTTAGAGAGGTACAGGAAAAGTAAGAAATTTAGTCACCAAGCTTACATTTTAAGAGAAACAAGTTTAAAGACAGTGTAGGTGGGTCTAGAAATGAACATGCACAGAGCTAACTTCGGGTACACAGAGGTAGGGTTTGTGGGTACATAGGAAAATATGGTTCTGCCTGGTTTCTGCCCAGTTTTCCACCATAACTTAGTCTCTACCCTCTGAGCCTTCAAAGTCCAGAGTCTCTGATCTTTCATTCAATAAACTAGAGTTCAGGTACTTTGTTGTTAAAATATACATGAACGTATGACTCTGATCTACCACTGTTACTTTCCTGGCTTTTAAATCCAGATGAATTGTTTATGTAATAATTAAAAATGGCAAAATCTCTGTTGGGTTTACTTGGTGAAAAACAATGAATAACACAAAAGGAAAAAATCCTAATCAGGATAAAGAGAAGAATGAAAAGGTGCTTCAGTTTCATGAGCATGTTATTGGAATGTATGCACACACAGACAATTTATGTATGTTTATGAAATTAAACCAGCTTTTCAGGAAGACGCACATCTGCAACGCCTTTGCTAGCAGACATGTTCTGAAAAGGCCCAATCACAAGAATGGCATGTAGGTGTTCCCATTCAGGGTTAACACACTACAGTTTTACTCAGCCTGTTCATGTGTTTAACTGCCTTCTGTTATTATTTTTCATGCAAGCAATCCAGCCAGAGACCAGTGAATTGAAGCAATTACATTTGGCTTGCTTGCATTCTTCCAAATGAGAACAGAGCCTACAAATTGCAATGAACTCTACCCTTCACCTGTGCTTTCAATAATCTACCTCAGACCATATACACAGGCATAATGGAGGGCTTAGGACACTGTTCAGATGAACCAAGTGGCCCAGAATAGCTGAAGGAAAAAAATATATTTTCTAAAATACAATATGGTGGGCCAACCGAGTGGCGCATTGGTTAAGAGCTGGCTTGGGATGCCAGAGGGCCCCGGTTCCGATCTCACATATGAGGGCCAGTGACACTGCCCTCTACAGCTAAGATGCTGAACAACAGCTCAACCTGGAGCTGGGCTGCCATGAGTCGCCGGCAA